TGTCCAATTCTGGGCCCCCCACTACAAAAAGGATTGGAGAGGGTCCAGCGGAGGGCAACCAAAATAATGAGGGGGCTGGAGCATATGACCTACGAGGAGAGGCTGAGGGAGTTGGGTCTGTTTAGTCTGCAGAAGCGAAGAGCGAGGGGGGATTTGATAGCAGCCTTCAACTCCCTGAAGGGGGGTTCCAAAGAGGATGGAGAGAGGCTGTTCTCAGTAGTGACAGATGGTAGAACAAGGAGCAATGGTCTCAAGTTGCGGTGGGAGAGGTCCGGGTTGGATATTAGGAAAAACTATTTCACTAGGAGGGTGGTGAAGCACTGGAATGGGTTCCCTAGGGAAGTAGTGGAGTCTCCATCCCTAGAGGTGTTTAAGTCTCGGCTTGACAAAGCCCTGGCCGGGTTGATTTAGTTGGAATTGGTCCTGCCTAGAGCAGGGGGCTGGACTTGATGACCTTCTGAGGTCTCTTCCAGCTCTATGATTCTAAGTTTTTGTAACCAGCATCTGTAGAAGCAAAGGTTTTCTTTTCTTTTCTTTTCTTTTCTCTTTGTGGGCCCCTATCTTCTGCACTCAGCCTTTGTGGGCCCTCACCTTCTGTACTTGGAGAGCCAGGGTGGGAAACAGCCCTGACAGCAAGTCATGCCTGACCGACTTGATGGCCTTCTATGACATGGTAACTGGGTCTGTGGACATGGGGAAGGTGCTGGACATGATCTACCTTGACTTTGGCAGAGCTTTTGAGATGGTCTCCCAAGTATTCTTGCCAGCAAATTAAGGAATATGGATTGGATAAATGGACTGTAGGGTGGATAGAAAGCTGGCAAGACTGTCGGGCTCAACAGAAAGTGATTGATGGCTCGATATCTGGTTGGCGGTCGGTTTCAAGCGGAGTGCCCAAGGATCAGTTCTGGGGCTGGTTTTGTTCAACATCTTTATTAATGACCTGGCTGAGGGGATGGATTGCACCCTCAGTGAGTTTGCAGATGACACTAAGCTAGGGGGAGAGGTAGATACGCTGGAGGGTAGGGGTAGGGTTCAGCGTGACCTAGACAAATTGGAGGACTGGGCCAAAGGAAATCTGATAAGGTTCAACAAGGACAAGTGAGGCTGGGGGTCAACTGGAGAGGCAGAAGTTTGGCAGAAAAGGACCTGGGGATTACGGTGGATGACAAACTGGATATGAATCAACAGTGATCCCTGGTAGTCAAGAAGGCTAATGGCATGTTAGGGTGCATTAGGAGGAGCACTGCCAGCAAAGCTAGAGAAGTGATTATTCCACTTTATTTGGCCCTGGTGAGACCACATCTGGAGTACTGCATCCAGTTTACACATCTGGAGTACTGCATCCAGTTTACACATCTGGAGTACTGCATCCAGTTCTGGGTCCCTCCATAGTATGTTTCCCCCTAGAACTGAAGCAGGGTAACTGGCGAAGGAGTGTGTCCATACCACTTTGGTTATGCTGGTTTAGGTCACATCCCTCGTGACTCTTCGCTTCGCACTGTGCTGTGCATTTTACAACCATCTGCACAGCATTGTGGGCGAAATCCCATGGTGCAAGAAAGGATGTGGACACATTGGAGAGGGTCCAGCGAAGGGCAACAGAAATGTTGAAGGGGCTGGAGCACATGACCTACGAGGAGAGGCTGAGGGATTTGGGTTTGTTTAGTCTGCAGAAGAGGGGAGATTTGGGAGCAGCTTTTAATTCCCTGAAGGGGGCTCCAAAGAGGATGGCGAGAGGCTGTTCTCAGTGGTGGCAGAACGAGGAGCAACGGTCTCAAGTTGCAGTGGGGGAGGTCTAGGTTGGATAATAGGAAAACCGATTTCCCTGGGAGGGTGGGGAAGCGCTGGGATGAAGCAGCCTTTTCTAGCCTGAAGTTCTGCAGCCACTGCTGTTCCACCAGCCAGTGCTAGCTGGTCCGCTGACTGAAGCTGCTCCAAGAAAATACCTTGCAGAGTTACCTGCTCAGCGTCAACTCCCTCCACCTCCTTCCCTAGCCGTATGGTGGTGGCACTGCCCTGGCTGTCTCCCCACCCACCCTAAGCCATCTGGCTTCCCAATTGCCAGTACACATGCAACAGCCGGCTGGTATTCATGCTGCCAGCGTTATGGCCCTCAGCGAGTTTCCTCCATGCTGCCTGTCTGCATTTCGAAAATGGCTTAGCTGAATTATGAGCTGACAGGAGAGGACTTGTGGCAGTTTGTGTAGTTTGAAAGGCTCTGGAAGGAAACCCACGCTGCCCTGCGATAGAAACCTCAGACTGTATCGGGCCTAACAGTGAAACTTTGCACCATGGGATTTCGCCCACAATGCTGTGCAGATGGTTGTAAAATGCACAGCACCGTGCGAAGCGAAGAGTCACGAGGAATGTGACCTAAACCAGCATAACCAAAGTGGTATGGACACACTCCTTCACCAGTTACCCTGCTTCAGTTCTAGGGGGAAACATACTAGAACCCCGTCCCCAGTGTGGGTACGGCCGTCGGCTATTCCCTGCAGAGATGCTGGTGCATGACAGCTACGGCTAAAGAGAGCGCTGGGACAGCGGAGTATAACACAGCCGGCTCCTCCAGGCAGAGGTGTGGCAGGG